TAAGCTGCTTTGTGCCTCTGGTTTAAAAGGACAGCTTGCGCTTATGAGAATCTGGAGCAGTGCTATCGAGGCAGGGAGAGTTAAAAATGCATTACAAGGCTTAGCAACCATATAAGTTACAGTCAACTACACTTCCATGGGTTCAAAGTGAGGGCGCTCCAATTGATCGGCCATCGATTGTTAGTGGATGATAATCACAGTTTGATCAGTGTTCTTTAAGAAAGCCGATCTTAAGAGACAATCAGTTGATGCAAAACAGACAATTTCTCTATGTGCAGCTTGAATGCAGACGAAATATTATAGCCTAGTTGGCAAATATGAGTGTGTGTGTTTTCGTGTGAGTGAGAGAGAGAATGAGAGAGAAGAGCATATTGGAGTTGCAAATGTCGGTTATATGCTGGAGGATGCAGACGTGAAACTGTAGTGGGGCAAGTAATGACTCAGCCTGTGTTTTCCACCAGATAACGCTAAGATAAAATCTTGTAAGTCTGACTAAAATAACAAAGCTATTGGTTTTGGCTAGACGAGATTGAATGAAATGTTCAGTATAATCTGGTGACTAAGGAAGACTAAAATATCAGCAATCTCATTGACCAAAACTAAACAATTTGGGCATTTTAGTCTAATCTATTAGACTTGGATAAGACTTAAATGCCCAGACATTTTGTCAAATAAAAGTTGACCTGAAAAAATGCTGACAAAACTAGCACTACTTGTCAAAGTATAATTTGTTCTAACTTGGTCTGTTGTGCTCATTTAGCTTTTAATCTCATATATTTTCTTAATTTTATGTAATCTATTCCACAGAAAGTTACATTTAAACTCTAAACTGCTTCCAACAAACAAGCATAGGCTGCTGTGATTTAGGCTGTGTCTCTGAGACCCCATTTATATCTTGCATTAACACGTGTCTCACGTCCAGATAGTATCTAAATATGCTTTAACCTGTCTCCACAGTCCGCAATTGCCAAGTTTCGCTTGTATACTTTCACTGAATATCCATAAACTTTCTGCTGTTTGCTTGCTAGTAGTGTAGCTTGCTAACTTGCAAATGGCTGCCATCTTGCCGGTTTGGTTTGGAACAGTCACATGCAATTACTTATTTCTGCCCATGTACTTGTTGAAGGTGAATTGAAAATCCAATTGCATTTTCACTTCACTTCATCTTCGCTTGAATGTGGTCAGGATGGTCCTCGTTGATCAATTTAACAAACCAACCAGAGCAGGTCTGAGTGCAGGAATCATTTACGAATAGCTGTGATTCATGAAACCTTCTTATCCCACCAATCACAGCATTGGAATGACAGGGAGCTGACAAATGTGGCAGCTGAAAACGATCATCTTTTAAATATCTAGAGGCCTCACCCCTTGAGTTAACAAAATGGAGAGGCGTAATATGGCCAAGAAGAGAAACCTCTCTAAGCTAGGAATTGAAACGCTAACTACCCAGGTCCAATTTAACTGACTGGTTCTATTTGACACCCTGGAATGTGTCACCAAAGGAAGTCTGAAAACCACAGTATGGAAAGAAATTACTGCTGTGGTCAGCAGTGTTGCAGTGGACAATCAAACTTGAGATAGGAATATTTAATTTATGCATGCATGATATGTTCTGACCTATAGCATACATATAATATTAGCCCATTTCTAATATTACATTGATATTGTTACAATATTCATATAAAAGCTTATACAATGCAAGCTGCAAATACTTACATACCAGTAGGAATATGGTCTAGTAACAATTCTCCAACTGCTGCACCGCAAGTCCACGCAACTCACACAAGTTGAGACCTGATGTGAGATTTAATCACTATCACAAATGCTGTGATTTGCGTGAAAATGAGTGTACGCCCAGTTTTCTATCAAATTTGTTTTGTGAAAGAGGGCCACTGTGTCCCCAACGAACCCCGAGGTGGTTTGGCCGGTCTGTTCAGAGTCCATCCTCAATGGGTTTTAGGTGCATTTACACCTGTACTTTCATATGGTCAATCACTATCTGATTGCATCTGATTACCCAAAACACATTTTAATGCAAGGTGTAAATAGGGTCTTAGAGAGGAAGTGGAATATGTTGCAAATTCTGCCTTTCAATACAATACTTTCTCATCTCTTTATTCTAATACTTGATACACGATGTTATTAAGAACAGTTTCATGAATAAATAATGCAACATGATAAATCCCATGCTATAAGTAGACCCCCTAATCAGTATCGGCAAATGCTGCTTTCAGCACCCTGGGTTTAGTGATCAGCCCTGACTGAAGCCCCCTTAGTTTAAAGCTTGCAACATGCTTGAAACCTGGCTCCTAAGAAAAACTCCCAGTGCCATGTTCGGGTCACTCTCTGCTCTTTGCTGTATGCAAGATTCTTCTGCGTGCCAAAGGTGCTGACCCTAACACACACTTGTTTCCCATGTGCCCTTTTCCTGCTCAACTCAAACCACCTTCATCTCCCAGATGAAACGAATTGAGCAACTATCAGGCTTGCCCTGCCAAGCAAACAGCAAGGATAGAATAACTGCATATAAAAACGACGTCTTGGGCTTTGTGGGGAAGGATTTCATGTATTTAACTGCTCTACTTGCTCTATTAAAAGCAGCAATACTGACAAATAGTTAATTTATGAAGCATGTGTGTTTCCGACCTCCGACACTTAAAGTCACCTGCGTAAGTTAGTCTTGCTTTACATTTCTTACTATAAAAGGGAGAATACCTCATTGACATTCAATGGGCTTTCCAGTGGGAGAGGAAGGAAATACATTGGAAGTGCTTCACTTCTTCACGCTTCTTCTCAACAAGCGCTTCTTTTCTTGCTTCTTAGTCAAGGCCAAGTGAAGAGAACAAGCCACAAAGGTATTGTGTAAAACAAGTTTTTTAGGGTTAGGAATACTGATGGCCGTGCGTCACATCTTGTATCATTTTTCTGCATCATTGGTGCAGTGCAAAATAACATAGGACTAAACCAGGCATGTTTGCTTGCTTTAAAGCCATAAGGGAAAGGGGAGGAAAAAAGAATTCTGTCAGAAATGAGAAGAGTTGAGTAAGTTACAAACAGTGCAGAAAGGGAGCTGCTTTAATCAGAGGACGATCTAAAAGTTTTGTTATGAAAACTGATCGGTGGAACATTATGCAAGAGCACCAACTCTCCCGACTCCTCATTTACGTCATGTACATTTGGAACGAGATGAGTGCGCCTTCATCCAGCCAAACAAAAGAGTTGCATATCAACATTTCACCTCAGACACAAACTTAAATCCGATACTGTGCTACAAATAAAAAAGTAGTCAGTCAAAACATCATGTGTTTGTTTTTACCCTGTCCAGCTCATCCATAACGGATGGCACCATAAATCGCTCAAATCCTTGTGCTGTGTGTATTTACAAGAAAGGGAGCAGGGGAGTAAGGGTCCAAGCGGGGGGGGGGGGCAAAAAGAAAAAGAGAGCAGATTTCATCATCCTTTACTGTGGTGGCAGCCTATACTAACTTATCTAAATCAAAAGTGTCATCCATGGGACCAGTGTTTTTCCAACCACAATAATGTCCCACCAGACTGGCTTTGAACCAATCCAGAAAACCCTCTTTTGAAAACCCCCTAATGCGCTCTGTCCAAATTTGGTAGCACCCTCGTTGGTGGTCCCCCGGTGCCTCTTTGAGTGTGTGTGTGTTAGTGTCTGTGTCTGTGCGTCTATGTTTTTCATCTTTTCAGGAGGCTAGGATGGGTGAGCTTTCAAAACATGCGCTGCACCTGTCATCTGCCAATACAACGCTGAAAACAACATAAATTATTTTAACTCTCAGCAAAACAATATATTTTCTTGTGTCACTAAGGGGCACTGATTTATCCCTCACCCTTTAAGGACAGGAAGCCTTCCGTCACATTTGTTCTGTTTACGTATCTCCACCTCAAGATCCCTCATCTGTGCTTATTAAACAGCCTCCTAGACTGCTGTACATTTCCAGGAATAACAGCGTGCAGATTGTACAGCCACTTCAAAAAACACTAACAGGTCTGATGTCTGTACACAAATGTCAGTCTGTGACCGAAAGGTGTGATGCTACTGGAGGTAAAAACAAACATGCTTTTGCGTCCTTGGCCTACACACATATCTGTGTAAACAGCTAATGAGATAATATCAGTTTTATAATGTATAAAGACAAACATGTTTTTAACAATCTGCGCATTCGGGTAATTTAGATTTTGAGAAAAACAGTCACTTTACTAATAGAGGATCAAAACACACCACCCACATACTGCGATAAAGGAAACAGTGTGACGATGGGCTGTAAACAAACTAATGAAATGGATCGTATCAAGTCATACAATAATGAAGTCAAAAAGTTGCTGCTGTCAAACATCTAGGCCCAGGCATTTTCTCTCAAACTAATTTAGTCGCAGATGACCGGATTTGGTTCAGTTATGAGGCACTTGGGCAGAGCTGTGACGAGCAGACGTGAGGCCGCTCTGTGTAGTGTGTTCAGTCGCACGCCATACTTCTTGCCTTGCTTTTGTCGACATCAACCTCTCTCTGGCTGGCATTCACAGTGGCATTTTTGGCTGTGCTGGCTTGCCTGCTCACACACTATGACAAACACTGCTTGTACGATCACTTTATTGATTAATGATTAATCTAAATATTGATTTCATTATGTAAAATGAGTCCAACTCTAATCCTAACCATAGTAAACATCCTGTATATATCCTCATACGATAAGCTGCAAAGAAACAGCAACTCAATGTTTTCTACTTTCCTTTGCTTTCAAATAAATATCTCATTGTAGATTTAAAAAGGTTGCTGTTGCAGTTTTAGTTAGTATGTTAGTGTTGGGCTTCAGCTAGTCTTGCTTTGACCACAAGACCACATGAAAATGTCATGACTGGATCACTTTATTTCACTTAATTTCACCTAACTCACAGATTCACACTGTGGGATTCATGTGACAAAATTGTCAAATTCAATTCTGAAAGCATCACAGGCTTTACAGGCATGTTTTTCTTACCTCCAAGTTCTTTTACGTTCAAGATGGCATTTGGAAATGGCACTGCTTTGATGCTGAAACCTGCGGGCAGAAAAATGAAAATCCATCATTGTGATGACAAAGAAATTGTGTTTATGTGTGTGTGGACAGCACATGTCAGGAGCGATGAGAATCAACTTTTAGGAATGTTGGCTGGATTGCTTTTCAATAGTGAGAATATGTCTAAAAGAAATCTGACTTTAAAGAAAAAATCCACTTTATCTTTCAGTTTCCCTCAGGATATTTGGTGTACCTTTTCCAAACCACCAGCTGGTGAACACACAGAGGACTGACAACATATTTGTGTTGTACAAACGAAAGAAAATAACACTTTGTGTGGTCCGGGTTAGCAAAACAGAAAAACAAGAAAAGCTAAACAGAAAAGTGTTTTGTTCTACGTTGGAGTTAGAGGAGGACGAAGCTAATGTCTAAAGTGCTACCATGTATTATGTGGTTTGTTTCTGCGGTTGCATACAGTGGGAAATAGTAAAGAAACCCACTGAAGGAAGAGATTTAATGCCGCTCAAATTATGCTAAATTGTCTTGGTGGGAATTCCTTTCCTGGAAACATTCACAAACAGGAGGAGAGATGGGTCAGACAACTGATTATGATTTTCTAAACATCTGAATTAACTGCTAAATGTGGTTTTTAAGCACATTACGACAGTGCAAAATCATGAAGTAAGAAGTGGGGGGGGGAACCGCAGAGAGACTTCCAACTCATTGTTCATCATGATCGTCCCTCTGTAGATGTTGGCAGAGTCAGACTGTGCTGACAGCTAAATCTCATTTCAGAGAAGTGCGCTAAAATAATTCCCGTGCTAAGGTAACTAATCGCCATATTTTATCTATTAAGGCCTACTCAGCGGCAGACACAGACAGGTGTAAACTCCCCTAAACCACCCCCTGCCACAGAGACATACACACTAACAGTTACAGGCTGCACATTTGGGAATTACTTTATATTTAGCTTCTACTGGTGAAAGTGCACAATGACTAAATCTAAAATGGGACTTCTGCAACAGCTCAAAGCTGACTGCTGACAAAGCCAGGGGAGGAAAAAGGAATGTCAGAGTCCTTGAGGGATTGCATTGCGTATATGGAAAGCAGAGCGTTGACTACCAAGAGAATGATGTACTAACCCTAAAGCCTCCTCTTCTGGACATACTTAACACCAGCCTCCCACTTGACTACAAGAAAGAAGCGGAGTATTGGCTGGTGAGATACAGCAGAGCATTTCTGGCATGAGCGCTGGGACTTTGGAAGACATACTGAAGACATGCTTCCCCCTATTGGAGAGCTGTAATACCTGGATAGTATTATGTATCTGATGATTCTAATCCGGAGGACAACATGTTCTTGAAACATGAAAGCACTTGAGACGCTTGGGAAGCTTGCAAGAACACATGAGGAAAGGAAGATCGGTACATCAGTGGAGAGTGCGTGCTTCTATTTAGGCATATGGATTTAACGCTCTCTTTCCCTCCGATCGATATGTTAAGTGCACATACCTGTTGTGGCAACGATGCCTTCGCTGCCCTCACTGCAAAGGCGTGAGAGCAGGCTGGTCTTTCCAGCACCTGTCAGGCCGATGCACACCACATCATACTCTGGTCTCGGCGGCGGGGGTCCTTTACAGCACAGTGCCCGGAAACACTAAACAAAACAAACAAAACAATAATTGTTAATTGGAAAACAGATCAAATGCAGCTGGTGCAGATGGAGTTCTGTCCTTAAAGAGACAGTTCACCCCACAAAGACATATTTTATTATCCTGTAGTGCTATTTATAAATCTTGATTGTTTGGTGTAAGTTGCAGAGTGTTGGAGATATCGGCTGTAGAGATGTCTGCCTTCTCTTCAATATAATGGAACTAGATGGCACTCGGCTTGTGGTGCCCAAAGTGCTGTTGTTCAAATACATTTGAAAAACTCACATCAATGTCTCTTCCCAGAAATCATGATCCGGTTACTCAAGATAATCCACAGACCTTGTTGTGAGCAGTTTCATGTAGGTCTTTTTTTTTCAGTCACATCACCATGCAGAAAGAAGCGTACATCTACTCATAGACAAGAGGTTTATGCTCATCTAGCAGTAGATGCACGCTTCTGCGCAATGACGCAGTTGGCAGGTGTAGTTTGGTAGAAAGAAGATATTTCCTACATGAAACTACTCAAAACAAGTCTGTGAATTATCTTGAGTAAATGGGTCAGGAAATCTGAGGAAAAAAAAACAAAAAACAACCCACAACTGTTGAGCTTTCAGCACCACAAGCCGAGTGCCATCTAGTTCTATTATATTCGAGAGAAGGCAGACATTTCTGTCGCGTGTATTTCCAACACTCGGCAACTCACACCAAAACAATCTAGACCGCACCACAGGCAAGAGGAAAAACTTGGATTTTTTATTTTGAGGTGAGCTGTCCTTTTAAAGTGAAATGGAATTCACTCTTGTGTCTTTACAAGAAGACACTCATGTGCATCACAGCTGTCTTCAAATGATGAAGCAGGAAACCCTACGACATGTCAAAAAATCTGGCCTATGAAACGCTTCCAGATTGTCAGTTGATGCAAGAGGAGCAAAATGTTTAGCCATGTCCAACCAGAGAGAATTTAAAAAGCAATGACAAAGAATAAAAGCCACAAGATGTTTTACTTTTATGATTTAATGAAATCATGTCATATAGAGTAAAAGTCTACACGACAAGAATATGTGAAAGGGAATTGAGTGAGTGTATAGACGCATGCATCTGGGCACTGGTGCAACATGTTTTTGTCTACAGTGTCTGTGTGTGGACCCAGTCTGACTGGGCCCTTGTGGCGGCCAGAGACAGACCTGTCACTCCATGAATCACGGCCTGAGACTGAGGGCCTGCTGTGAGACATTAAGGGGCAAATGCAGTGTGAACCGTGAATGAGATCTTTAAACTTGTGTGGGGAGATCGGTATCCAAAACTAAAAAGAGATCTCTTTTATTAGCAAGACAGGAACCAGTCTGGACAAGGCAGGGCAGACACACACACACACACGCACGCACATGCACACGAACACATACACACACTTCCATCCACTATATCACATTTCAGGTGGAAGAACATCCAACACAAGATTGCTCACTGCTCTTGTCAGGGGATGACCCTTTGCAACACACTGCTACTCTGTTCAATCAAAGACTCTGACAGGGAGGAAAACACACACAAGTGTACACAAACTGCGGCACATCCGTGCGCACATTCACCAGGTGTGCTTGGGCGTGTCATTAAAACTTGTACTTCAGCTGGGATAAGCAGATGTAAACAAATGAGAGGGTAAACAAACATTCTGTGTCAACATTCAAGTATCTTTTGGCACATGGTCAAGATTTAGGTCTGGTACAAGACAAGAGACCTCTTGTCTTGAATGAAGCAAAATGAACGATGACATTTTCCCAGACTAGCGTTGGTTTCTATGAGATACAACCATCTTTCAAACAGGAGGGGAACAAGAGAGCAGCAAAGAGCGGCAGCCTCGATTCTTTCGCATACCCCCAGACATCAGTGACCACCAGGGTCAGTTTTCAGAGCCGTGCCAAAACAGAGCTGCCGTTTGATGGAGATGTGGGGAATCTGCTTCAACAGAACCAGACGTCGGCTGAGCAACCCGACCCCCCCGACTCCTAGGTGAACCCGCCAGTCTGCTCAAACAGGAAACATTCTCCTCTTCCAGAAAAACGGTAAGATCAGAAACACACGCGCGTCAGATGGGGGAACACATGTAAAAACTTGGTCTGATGAGGTCACTCTATTCTCCTGCTTACCCTCTTCTTACCTTGTCACCTCCACCCCCCGCCTACCTGCCCTGAAGCTACATGTAAAAGATTGCAGCAGAGGGAGAATAGCTGTCAATCCTCTGCGCTGACAGCTGATCTTTCAGAGGATGCACGGGGTTGAGTTGAAAGAACTTGTGTAGCTATGAAGTTGCTATGAGTTAGAGGATTGTTATTTATTCACCCGCTTGTAAAATTATCAGAAGGTTGCTGCCTCGCTATGTGGGAGCTGACAGACAGGACAACTCCCACCACCTCTCTCTCCATGTACAGTGCAGATTTCACAACAGCTACCAAAGCAGCATCCTGGGCCTGACCCTGGGTTCCCTATGCACACAGTGGCCCCTGTGAGACAGAGAGAGATGGGAGCTCCCACCTCTGGCCCTCCTTGACAGCACAAGATTGACGAGGAGAGTTTGGTCAAAAGGCTCACAGGAGAAAAATAAATATGTCCAGAGGCCTTTGCTTACCTCGAGACATGCCCCTCCCCTGTCAACCACACACTCAATGATCTGCGAGTCTGTGTGCTGTGTCACTGAGACTGAGAGCTCAAATGAGACCGTCCTATGATGACTACCTCCATAAATCTCTGTGAGGCATCCAGACGAACAGCTGAGATTAAAACTGGAAGTTGAATTCAACATACACAGTCAACAGTTCCCTAAATGTTGTTTGAGTGATTTACAGTGTGTTCAGACAAGCTGGAAGTGACGGAGTTATAAAAATATTCTCACATGTACTGTCGCATAGAAAAACATGTGCCTCTGAAGGGCTTATCAGCTTCACTTCCTTGTTTATTCAAGCTACTATTTAACTGCTACTATGAGGCCACCTGAGCATTAAAAAAAGAGAAACAAATAAAACCTTACAACTCCTTGCCAAAACACTCTCCATAAAAAGTCTGCCATTCCTAGACTTTATTGATTGGCTGCCTCTTATAGGATTGGACATGTTTTAATTGTGCCTCCCTGAAAGACCTTCCGAGACATTACCTCACTGATGTTGTGAAAGCTGATTAGCTAGGCTATATGTAAATGAGAAACACTGCCGGATATAAATATCACTGAAGGCATAGCCACGCTGTGTTTTTTCAGATGAATGTCTCCTTAAAAGATACGTGACAGTAGGGAAGAAAAAACAGCCCCCACAGGCCTCCAGTTTGAAAAAGACGTCAAGACATTTAATGGGTGACATAACTGGGCCTCCTGGCAGCGGACCAGAGCTGAAGCACACAAGAACAGAAGCTCAAGAAGGCATCACTGCTGGTCTACCAGTACTTGTGTGAGGATAGGTCAAGGGGGCAGCCCCATAACTCTACAGATGTTGAACTTAATAGCATTTAGCTTGATGTGAATGATGAGGGAGTAAGAAGGACATCAGTGATATGAAAGGAAAATAATTACAGCAGTCCCTTTTTCTCCAACGTTTTCCTTCAAAGTCATACCACATGCAACCAAACCATCATCACCATGGAGCCGGCTGACCTCAAGTGACCGTCTGTTGATTTACATACTGTTAACACATGGCATATATTTAAGGATATTTGGACTGTACATAAATGGAAAAAGATCAAGGCGCATGGTTCAGCCAAGACAAACTGAGGGGTTCAGTTAAAGTTGAATATTTCCAAAGAAAACGGTTTTATCAATAAGCCAGAACACAACCCATCATGTTGCACATTCACCTGACGTAGTTGGACAGAACAGGAGCCAGGCTCTTTTTAGAAAACCACTTTGTATTTTTAGAGGTAATAAATGTGGGTAAGAGGGAAGCCGCTACCACCGCAGCAGACTAGTTCGTGTTTCACTCTCGTACTCTCTGGCTACTGTCGAGACACCGCAGGATAGGAAAATGGGCAGTGGCGTGACAGCATGTTCCAAATTGAGGTACCCCAACAAGCTTCCAGTTTCTATGGTGTGGTTTTCTCCCTGCTTCAGTTGTGAAATAGCTACTAAACATTGGGGTCGTCAAAGGATACGTGCAGCATTTGGCCTACAAATACTCCTGCTGGGTATTTTGATATTCGCTGCCTATTCTGCAAGAATGATGTGCTGCAGGTGTATTTTGATGTTCTGCCTAGGAACATGTATAAATACTAATAGAAACAGAACAAATGCTGTTTCTGCTTAGTGCTAAGATACCGAAACAGGTGTGCAGCATCAACTAAAGCTGTGACTGGAATACTCAGGACAACCACATAATTAATCCAATGTCTTGCCCAGAAAGGGTTAGTGGTATTTTGGGATCATTAGGGCCATTACATGGTATTTGTTTATCCAGATGTTTGGCGAACATTATCCAAAGTTAACAAATCCCACACTTATTACACAACTGTTTTGGTAGATGAGTTTATTTACAACGGGGGACGCACCGATTGTGAAATTCTGGGCCGATACTGATTCGATGTTAAACAATAATTTGGCTGATAGCCAATACTGATGTTTTTTTGTTGTTGTTGATTTTTTTTTTAGATTATTCTTTTGGCTTTTTGTCTTTATTTGACAGGACAGACTGAAGCGTGGAGGGGCAAGAGAGGAAACATGCAGCAAAGGGGCGCAGGCTGGAATCGAACCTGTGGCCACTACAGCAAGGACTTTTCCTTTGTACATGGATGGCTGCTCTCACCACTAACCTACTGGAAGCCCTATTTTGTCTTTGTTTTTATTCATTGTTCTTTCTGTGTCTTTATCTTAAAAAAATAACTGTTTAAAAGTCATTAATTCATCATAATTACCGCTCTAATATCTATTTTATATTGTTGTGAGAACGTCAATAAATTTCTCTTTCAGACAGCTGTATCTCGTCAAGTTTCTCGCCAAACTCTACATTTTACAAGATTGTTGCTCATTACT